TGCTAACCTCAAGCCACGCGTAAGGCTAGTTGCTGCTGGTACCTCATATTCTGGTGCTTTGCATCGTACATCTGGGCTCTTCAGACAGTGGGTCTGTGTTGGTAACATTCTCTTTACAAAAATATTTCAGGAGTGATTTTCCCGCAGGATTAAGAGTGGCAAAGATATACTCTTGCAAAGAAAAAAAAAAAAAAGAAGTCATCCCTCTAGAGGTGGAAGTACTCTTTCCATGCATGGCATTGATGGTTCAAGTACTCAGCATTTTTTTCTCTTGTATGTCAGGCTTTGTGGAGGAGGATGAACCTTTGATCTTCAGCAATGCCTTTTAAATGTGGTTATGGCCAGAAAAGTGCATGTAAAGAGCTCAAAGTCAATATTCAGTGTAAACGCCTTGCATGCACCTGGAAAGAGCCGTTATTGTAGAGGCTGGGTTATACCTGGGATGGTAGATGCTGGGTTATACCTGGGGTGAAAGCACAGACTACTGTCACCTCACTGGCTCTTGTTTTCATGACCTTTCTCCCAGAGCTGAACCCAGCGAACTGGGAACCTCTAGCAAGCTTTCCTTGCCAGTGAACTTTGGATAAGGTTAAAAACCTGAACTTTTAGGGGCCTTGTCCAGGCAAACCTCTAGAGGTTAGCGAGGACATCAGGATATCCTGGGGCTAGCTCTGTCATCAATGCAGTCATCAATGCAACAAAGACTGTGAATGGAAGAACATCACGGTAAATGATGATGTTTCACATCATATGTCTGCATTGCACAGTTGCCCCTGATTTTTACCTTGGGGTTGTTTCTCAGACCCATTTCGTTCATATATTGGCTCAAATGTTCCACTCAATTCCTTAACTAAGTGAAAACTTTTACTGAAGCTCGCATGCCATCCCCATTTCGGGGTAACTTGCTTGAAGTGTTGGTGGACTGTCAGCCCTCCCCAGCGTGCTACCCGTGTGACCAGAAGAACAGACTGGTTTTCCTGCAGCACACAGGGACAAAATCAAAGTGTACCTCACCTTAGACCTGGGACCTGGGTCGAGATGGCTCGTCTGGAAAAAGGAAAAGCTGCAAGTTGGACTTCTGACAACTGTATACGGTTATTAATAATAGCCAGATCATATACTCATGTCTAAGGGATCCAGAAATGTGTGCCAGCTCCACGCAAAGCTGTTTCAGCAGTCATAGCGACGGGAGCCTTTCATTTGTGGCAGTTCAGCGGTGGGCTGCCCTGCAAAGGCTGGGGCTCTGCTTCACAGGGACTTGAACTTGCCTATCGCTGCGCTGCAAGCTGCCGTAGACGGGACTTGCCACATTTATGCCAGGAATGTGATTAAAAACTGGAAAAACTGAAGCTAGCCTATTCCCAGAGGCAATATAATGTAACATATATGCCAGAATAATACACACAAGACCCCTGTCTCAGACTCAGTCTGGCCAGCTCAAGGACACAGCTCGGGAGGCAACAGCATGGGGGGAGCCCTGGCACGCTGTGGCCTGTCTGGTTAGGTTATGTTAGCACCTTTAACGCCTCGATGTGTTTTTCCCAGTTGCCCATCACCAAACGCCAAGTAGCTCTCGATTCCAGGGGATAGAAATTTGCCTCCTGGTATTCAATTTAACCGTTGATCTCTTCCTCAGCCAGAACTGAAGCCAAACACTTCCTGAACAAACTAGTCCTTCAAAACTGAATCTAGGCAAGCAGAGCCTCTGATAGTGAGTACAAGGAAGGTTGTACACGTTCCCCATCCGGGTCTGTAGCCTGAAACTCTGGCAGGGCCAGCCAAGCCCTGTCCTCTTCCAAGAAACTGAGTCCCAGGTAGTCCTCGCTGCTGGGACGTTATCCGAGTGGTCCCCGTACTCTGACCCTGCCAGCTAAAGGCTACCTGTTGCTCGCCACCCCTTTGTTTTTCTCTTTAAGCCACAGTTATACATGGCACGGAGAAGCTGATTGCAGCAGGGGTTGGCAGCGTGCCATCCAACTTCCCTTGCATGCAATCAGCAATACTTGTTTGCTATTTGCATGCATGACCCGGATCGGATCGTAAGCAGGTGTTACAAGCCGCTATCTCTGCCTGATCTGCTCTGTTTGTCCTCAGTTCCCCCAGAGCCTTCAGTCTGTAGTTTTTGTGGCTGTAACTAACTCAGGGTTTTAGCTCACACGATTCCTGGTTCAGTAACTGCTTGGGCCTGCCATGATGGCAGCCATCGCATTTGAATTTCTTTTCCTGTGTGCGACAGAGTTTTCAAGACGGTACGGTTTGCAGTCTGTATGCATTCAAGCAGCAAAATGCAGAGCTGCTCGGTGCAACTGCTGCCTGCCTGTGAGATTATCATTACCCCCGTTAACGCCAGTTGCTGCTGTAGGCAGGGCCTAGCCGCCGCTTTGTCTTTCAAGGAAGATCCTTATCTGAGGAGACAGGCTTCTCCATCAGATATTCTCTGTATCAGAGAAAAGTGTGTACTTGCCTGTGTATGTAAAGATAGTTGTACTTGGATGCAGCACTAGTCATTGACCCTAGTCCAGGGCTGTCCAGGGCTGTTCTTTGGGGTGTTTGGGGGTTTGTTTGCTTTTTTTTTTGGGGGGGGAAGCCAGACAGATCCCCGCTTTCCAATTATTTTCCGTCAGAACCTTTCTTCAGAAGAAAAAAGGCTTTAGGCAGAAAAAGCATTTTCCCAGATATTGTTTCCCTAAAAAAACCCCAACTTTGTTTATGTTTTTAGACTGGAAATCTCCAAACATTTTACAATTTTATTTCATGATTTTGCAGTGGTACTCATGGTTTCCTTGCCTCTGACCAGTCAGATCAATGCATAGACTAGCCTAGACTGGGTCTAGACAGCTTTAAGTCGGCCCAGCACCCCAGGTATTTGGGGCTCACTTACCACCTCATGCCATAATGTAGGGAACCTCACATTTTTTGTACTGAGAGGAAGCAGAGACTTACAGGAGATGTGTCATTTAGGAACCCCTGCCTGACATCCTGACTTCAGTAAATCAGAGAAGCAGCAAGTCATTATATCCTTACCTCTGATGGAAAGGCTTGCTCTCTTTTAAGAGCTGTCATCAGAAGATCTCGTGTTCTTGTACCTTTCTACACAGGCAAAGTTTATAGCCTGGAGATAGTCTCAATCCCTTTAGGGAGTTTCTGACACAAGGCTGTGACCATACAGGATTGCACCACAAGGAAATTCTTCTGAGGGGCACCTTCCACTCCCTAGCTTACTCTAATTAAAGCAGAAAAAGGTAAGGGCTATTTTTGAAAGGTTGTGCGTCCACCGAGAAAAAGCTGCTGCAAAGGATGAACACAGTCTGAGCTCCTTGCAACATGCAGCATTAGGCAGTGTGAGGTAAAAGCTCTCATTTTTGTTGTTTAAAGGCTGTAGCCATCTCTGCTGGTCAGTGTGAGAGGTTGCTCACAAAATTTTTACAGCAAATACTGTAACTTCAGCAGGATACACACAGATGTTTGAGGGTTCCTCTGAATTCAAGCTTAGTCAGACCCACTTAAATGCTAGGCCACTCAGGCTTACTTGGTTTTGTTACGTGATCTGAGATCTGAGATAGAAAAGTGCTCATATTTGTAAATGCAGAGCACTGACCTGACTGTTTCTAAGTGGGTTAATTTCAAGCTGAGAGGGATTCTCATGTTTACCCAGCTAACTATTGTCATTTTTTGTGGTGATATCATGAGCCTGGTAATATCTGATTTGCACTTAGATTCTCACGTAATCAGAGGATTCCAGCAGCTGCACTTTTCTAAGTTTTCAGAATTTCTGTCTCCCTCCCTGCTTGTGGAAAAAGTTTGCAAAACTAACCTCAGAAACGACTACTGGGGGGAGGGAGCAATAATTTATTATTTTTAAAAGCTCGTGATTTGTCCTGTGAATTTTGAGCACTGAGGGTTTAGCAACACACCAGCTTTCAAAGCAAAGACAGTGTCTGTGTGTTCACGGGTAACCCACTGCTGCGTGCACATCGATGTTACGGGTCTTTTGAATGCTCGGTCCACAGAGTAGGTGAGTCTGTCGCTGCCTTTGTTTCGGAGGTCTGCTCCATTAACTCACATTAAAGTAGTGTGTGCTTTTAGTTTGGGAGGTTCCTCGTTCAGTTTCTGGCTTGCCAGCCATAATGGCAGCTGTGTTATGTGCGGTTAGCTTAGCTCCATAAAGAACATGCAGACCCTGTCAGATGCACTTTGAATAAGGCAGGGCTGTGCCAAAGCCTTTATGAGCCTGGCACGCTTCATTTAGAAAACCCAAGCGCATCAACGCAAGGAAATTGATAGTCACAACTTTTTGTCAACATTTGGAGTTTCAGCAG